TTTTTTATAATTCTGAAGACGGTGAACATGGACTTGGAGGCTAGATAGAGTTTACAAGTCAAGAGGATGCCCTTTCTTTTTTTCTCTTTTCTTTTCTTTTTCTTCTTTTCGCACAAGGTATCTGCTCATGACTTTTGACTACATGCTGACGACGATAGATACATGTCTGTGTGCAAAAAGGACGTCTCCTTCTCCAAGAAGCATTGAATGGATTCTCAACACCTTGGCACAAAGAAGCACGGCTGTCTTGTTTCGATATATATCACGCACGCACGCACGCACACCGTCACCATCACCATCACCACCACCACCACCACACATCTTCAGTCATCATTCATAAAGGCCCGCAACCACTCGTTGCGCCCGATCCAACTGCGCATCTTCTTTCCAAAGATCCTACTCCCACCAACAACACTCGTGTGAGCAACAGCCCACCAGTCAGTCACATGAACAAGAAAGAAAAAAAAGAAAAAAAAAAAGAAAAAAAAACTCACCACAACGGCACCGTCAACAAGCACACAAACAGAAACAGGGCGCCCAGCATCGAAAACACCACCAGCGTGCCTTGGGCCGCCAGCCACGAGTTGACAAAGTACGTCATGCCAAAGGTCAGCAGGTTGCGCGAGTTGATGGCCACAAAGGCCTCCTCGTTGTGGCTGCGGTAGCTGTCGATGATGTAGCCAAACACGCACGTGGCGCCAAACACGAGGCTCATGTTGGCCAGCCCAAAGCACAGCACGGGGCCCGTCCAGTGCGTCTGCGCGGCGACGGTGGCGCCAAAGCCAAAGAAGCCCACGGCGCCCAGGACCACCGACACGGCCATGAGCGGGAGCCGGAACTCGGGCTCGTAGACGCCCCTGTTGGCGCGCGTGAGCCGCACGCACACCCAGTCGTTCAACGGGCCCGACACGGCCTCGCCCAGCACCGTCAGCACCAGCGGCGAGAGGCTGATGAGCCCGGTCTGGCTGACGGTGAAGTTGTACGGCGGCGCGACAAAGATGACGCCGTTGACGACGGAGAAGACGACGATCCAGGTGATGGAGGTGCCTGGATTTTGGGGTTTGCGTTGGTTAGATTTGATGAGATGGGGGCAATGTGAAAAAGAAGAAAGACAAGAAAAGAAAGGGAAAAAAAAAAGGAAAAAGGGGGACTCAAGGATGGCGCAAGAGAACGTGTCAAGAGAGCGAGCGAGCAAAGCAACAAAGCAGCAAAGCAATAAAGCAACAAAGCAGCAACGCAGCAAAGCAATAAAGCAGCAAAGCAGCAACGCAGCAACGCAGCAAAGCAGCAACGCCATGACATACCGTACACGAGAAAGCCCCAGAGAACCGCCGGATAGAACCACATGACGACGGGCCGCACAAAGATCTTGCACATTGGCGCATCCGTGTAGCGCCCCGTGAACACGCGCAGAGACCGCAGGAATGTGTGCTTCTTTTCCTGGACGGCCACGACGTCTGTCGACACACCAGCAGCACCCCCAGTACCACCAGCAGCGCCCTTTTCCGATGCAGAGTGTGGCGCGCCGTCGACCAGCACAGGAACAGGAACAGGAACAGGAACAGCAGGGCCAGCGTGTCGTCGAAACGCCGTCTCAGGCACAAGCAGCACAATAGCAACCATCAGCAGGCCAAACAGGACGGCACAGACGCCAAACGTCCAGCGGTAGCCGTCGTGCTCGATCGTGTAGCCCGAGATCAACGACCCGCCCGCAATGCCCGCCAGCAAAAACAGGTTCCACACGGCGATGCGCGTCGCGCGCTCGTGCACAAAGTACAGGTCGCCAATGGTGCACTGCACGAGCACCTCGAACGGCGCCATGCCGACGCCAGCCACGACCCGGCTCGCGAGAAAGGAGCCGTAGTGCGTGACCGCGGCGCCCCAGACGCTCGACGCCAGCAGGATGGCGACCGAGGCCACGTAGATGGGCCGGCGGCCGATCATCTTGGCCAGCGGGTTTGTGAGGAACAGCGAGAGGCCAATGGTCAGGGTCAGCCAGGCCGTAGCCTGCGAGAGAATCTCGACGGTGATGTGCAGCTCGGCCGAGACTTGGACAAAGCCGGGGGAGAGCATCGGGCCGTAGGCGCCGACGACGGCTGCTGTGAGGCTGACAATGAGGAGGACGACTTCTTTTCTCCTGCGCGTGGTGTGTTTTTTTTTTGGTGAGTGTTAGTGAGTATCGGCTTGTGTGTGATTGTGCTGGACACTCTGCAAGATATCGATCTGATGAGTTGCGTACCATTGTGCCCACTTGTACGAGGTGGTGTCGTCGTCGTCAGCTTTCAAATCGAGGTAGACAGACTATTTTTTTCTAATATGACATTTGACATACATTCAATGGATCATTCGGGTTGTCTGATGGTTGCGGCACCAAGATGACATCTCGGTAGCGTCCCTTGCCGTGCTTGAGTTGTTCTTTGGCTATGTCGGAGTACTCTGGAGGCAGCTCATCCTGATCGCTCATGAAGGCTGCCACATGGGTTTCGCAAAGTGAGAGTGAGTCTGCCGTCGTAGCGCCGGGCTTGGTTTTGAGAGAGAGAGAGAGAGAGAGAGAGAGAGAGAGAGAGAGAGAGAGAGAGAGAGAGAGAGAGCGAGGCAAAGATGGAGAAGACGAACCTGTTCCGGGAACAACCTCCATTCTCTTGCAGTCC